CACAACACGAGGTACCGACTGGACGCATCATTGAACGCGCTCTTAGCCCAGTAAAATGACCCGTGAGGGCTTCACATGGGTACCCCTTAATTAGTTGCTCTCATTGAATGGAGATTTCCTTTCACCAACTCCTATTTAGCGCTTCATGCGAAGTACAAACGCGCACAAGCCCCTCCCCTCGATGGATTCTTTATTGGCCGGTTTGTATAAAGCACCAACAGGAAGCATTCCTGCCTTGGTTTTGCAAGCTTCTAGAATCTTTCATCCTTTTTTTGTTCATTTTTTTGTTTTTTTGAATGGTTTTGTCTCTTTTTATTTTTCTTTCCTTTTTCCTTTTCCTTTTCTTCTTTTTCAAATGTGTGAACTTTTTCGAATTTAAATTTTTTAAAACTTGCAAACTTTTAGAAAATCCCTGAACCTTTTGTCAAAACCATTGAACTTTTTTCAAGTCCACAAACTTTTTTTGAGACCATGAACGTTTCCAAATACACATAAGTTTAAAGGCCATTTGTACAAACCACACACACCCCTCCCGATTCTTTATTAGACGGCTTGTATAAAGTACCAACCCCGGGTTTGCAAGCTTCCTAGTAGCTTCCGTCCCTTCTTTTGTTCATTTTTTTTTGTTTTTTGAATGGTTTTGTCTCTTTTCTTTTGTTTTTGTTCCCTTTTTACCTTTTCCTTTTTTTCTTTTTTGAAATGTGTGAACTTTTTGAAATAAAAAACCTTTTGTAAATTCGTGAACTTTAAAAAAATCCATGAACCTTTTTTCAAAACCAGTGAACTTTTTTGAAATCCATGAACTATTGTCCGAATTTGTGAACTTTTTTTGAACACATGAACGTTTCCAAATCCACATACATTTTCTAGATTTATGAACATCTTTGAAAATCAGAGATTTTTGAAAAATTGGTTGATCCTTTTTTCAAATTTGTGATTTTTTTTAAAATCCATGATTTTTTTCAAAGTCATGAACTTTCAAAAATGCACGTTGGGCTGCCCCATGCGAGTGTGCGAGTGCGTGCTGCTGAGGAGCTCTCTTTCCTTTCGCCATTCTGTCGCCATCGCTCCTAGCGACTCTGCAGCGTTGGGCACTCTCACTGGAAGTGCCCCCTCCTCCTCCTCTCATGGCACTGTTCTAGCGCCGCCTCGTCTTGTGCCACTCTGCTGCCTGGGTTTCTGAAAAATAAAATTATAAATTTAGAAAAAAAATATAAAAGTTTTAAAATATTTTGAAAATAATTACAACTATTCATATAAATTTTGTCTCAAATATGAAAAATGTTCATCACATATTTAAAAATATTTCTTCCATTTTATTGGAAATATATGTATACTTGGTCTAGAAAAAATCTGCGTACTTAAAAGATATTCATTACGTACTTGACAAACTTTCGCCATGTATTAAAAAAGTGCTAAATATGTGTTTACAAAATGTTTGTCGTGTATTTAAAAAATATTCTTGTGCTTGAAAAAAATTGGTCATGCACGTGTGAATATATGTTCTTATACCAAGCAAAAAAAAATCTAATAATAAAAACATAAAAAAAACACAATAAATTAAGAACAAAAGTGGAAAAAAGAAGTAATTTTGTGCTTCTCGTGAAAGCAAAGAAGCACGGCCTTTTCTCCTTTCCGAGAGGTACAAATGTGCTTCTCGTGGATGTAAATATGTGCCTTCATGAGAAGCGACTAAAAAATCGCGCAATTTTTGTCTACTTTTTTTTTCCAAAACCAAAGAAAAACCGAGCGAAAATTGAAAAGCTGAAAAATACAAAAAAAAAAGCCTATCTAAAACCTGAAAGCATGTACAGATAAATAAAATAAATCCTGAAAGAGTGCCCTTCACACGACACATGGCAATGACTGGGCAAACCACTTAACGTCCTCTTAGCCCATAAAAATGATCCCCGAGGGGTCCGCAAGGGTACCTCTTAATTAGTTGCTCTTAATGAACGAGGGTTTCCTTTCACCAACTCCTATTTAGCCTTCAGATGAAGTTTAAAAACCATTTGTACAAACACGCACGCGTACATCCCCTTGATAGATTCTTTATTGGCCAGCTTGTATAAAGCATCAACCCCGGTTTTGCAAGCTTCTGGAAGCTTCCGTTCTTTTTTGTTCATTTTTTTTGATTTTTTGAATGGTTTTGTTTCCTTTTATTTTTCTTCCCTTTGCCCGTTTCCTTTTTTATTTTTTAAATGTGTGAATTCAAAAACTTTTTTACACTCGTGAACTTTAAAATAAATCCATGAACCTTTTTCCAAGTCCACTGAACTTTTGTCTGAATCTGTGAACCTTTTTTGAACAAATGAACGTTTGCAAGTCCACATGCCTTTTTTGAATTTATGAACATGTTTCAAAATCAGTGATTTTTTAAAAAAATCGATGGTCTTTTTCAAATTTGTGATTATTTTTTCAGAGTCAATGATTTTTTTTCCCAAAGTCATGAACTTTCAAAAATGCGCGTTGGGCTGGCCCCACGCAAGCGTGCGCGTGCCTTAGGCGGCTCACGAGCGCTGAGGAGCTCTCTTTCCTTTCGCGGTTCTGTCGCCATCGCTCCTCGCCGCTCCGTTGCGTTGGCCACTCTCACCGGAAGTCCCCCCTCCTCCTCCCGTGCCGCGACGCATCCTCGCTTCCACGCCCATTCTGTTCCACGCGAGCGGCGCCATCCATCCCTCGGATGCAGTGCCGGCCTTTCACGCCCAGCGCCTGCCACCGCCGGGGCAGCGGCGCGCTCTGGCCGTTCGGCGGAATGCCGACCCGGATGCCGGTTCGTAAACCGTTACGGTGACCATCGCGAAGCTGGTTCGGGCTCACAGACCAAGCTTGGGACGCGTTCTGACGCGTCTTTGTGTGTGCTGGTGGTCTTTCGGCCGCGTCAATCCCTGGACATGGTACGTTGTTGGTGCTTCTGACCGCCATTCCTCTCGTGTTCTGCTACTGTCGAAATACCGCTTGTGCCTGCTGAGTTATATGTGTTTCAGAAGCTAGTCGTATTATTAGATTCCCAATTTCTCATTCCACTCCATTCGACTTGTATACATTTTGGAGATGGCAGTCGTATTAGATCCTCAATTTCTTGGTCAATCCATTTGAAACTTGGGACCTTGGACCTACTGAACATTTTCCTTAGCTAGTTAATTCGGTAATTCACCGGCAACTCTGGTGGCATGTAAAAACAGCTGATACGAAGCAAACTGCTGACAGCACATGATAAAGGCACTTGAATGGAATCCATTTTCAACCTTTCACAGATAAAACAAGATAGCCATTTCACATCTGTATACGTTGTCCATGCTTGTGAAATTTAATGATACATTCTTTCAAAAAAAAAACTTAATCGTATATAGTACTTCGAGAAACATTTAAACGTTCCCACAAAACAAAAACAGTTTCTGTAGCTAGTAATCCGGCGATTCACCCCCAACTCCGGTGGTATGTAAAACCAGCTGACATTACATGACATCTGCACTTGAATGAAAACCATTTTCAATCTTTCACAGCTAAAACAAGATGGTCATTTCACACGTGTATACGTTGTCCATGCTCGTGAAACTTAAATCATAGGTTTGCTTTATTTATAAAGCAGGGCGAAAGCCTTTTTCGGTAAACTTAAATCATAGGAGTAATAACTTTGGGAAACATCTAAATGTTCTTGCAGAAGAAAACATAACACATCTAAAGGGTGATGAATTTTACAAAGATCTTTCCTTAAAGAAGTACGTATAGCACAAAATGGCAATCTGTTAGGTTCTGTACAAAGTAAAAAACAAACTCTAGGTTTACCAGAAGAAGTAGACTAGTAGTCCTACTGAAACTATAAAGTTACAACTTACAAGTACACCATGCATGAGAATACAAGATTATCTATAGTGTGTAGTTCATTGTATCATGACTGGTCTTTGCACTTGTGTTCAGCATCTATACTGGCCAGGCAAGAGACTACATCCATGATCGTTGGCCTCAAGAATTGATTGTGGTTGACACATTTGCAAGCGACTTCAAGCACCTTCAGCATTTGCTCTTCATATCCTGTGCCTCGAAGGGTTGGATCCAGGACCTCAACCTGCTTTCCCTCAGACCTCATCTCTAGCACCCATGGGACAAGTTCTTTTGATGTGGACAGGACTGGAAGAGGTCGCATTCCAGTAAGCAGCTCAAGCAGGACTACTCCGAAACTGTAGATATCGCCTCTCAACGTAGCAACCCATGCTTGCCCATACTCGGGGGGAATGTAACCCATCGTGCCGACTAGCTCAGTTGTGACATGAGTTTTGTTGGAAAGGATCAATCTGGTTAGCCCAAAATCTGCAACATATGGTTTAAATTCTTTGTCCAGTAGGATATTACTGGATTTGATGTCTCGGTGAACAATTTGAGGGTTGCAAACTTCATGGATATAAGAAAGTCCCAGGCTTGCTCCTTGTGCGATCTTGAGCCGAATTGGCCAGTCAAAACATGCGCTAATATCATCATCCCTGTTATGGAGCCAATCATCTAGGCTGCCATTCTCCATGTAGGAATATATGAGGAGCCTTGAGTTTCCCTGGATGCAGTAACCCCATAGTGGCACAAGATTTTGATGCTGTGTCATGGAGAGTGCATCAACCTCTGCCCTGAACTCCCTTTCCATCAGACACATTTCATCGTGGAGCTTTTTAATTGCCAGCTTGTAGCCATCAGGTAGTTCTGCCTTATAGACTAATCCATAGCCTCCGCATCCAATAATGTTCTCCTTATCAAAGTTGTTCGTGGCTTTCAAAATGTCACTGAATTTGAGCTTCTTTTCTTCTCCATTTCCTTGTGGCATGCACATCACCACTAATGTTTTCTCTGAACTGGAGTAGAATGAACCTGCATTAATATCTCCATTATTCTTCCTTTGATTTGTTGATATAACACCCTTCATCCTGATTGAGACAAGGAGGCGCCCCAGCAACAAAAGAATAGCAACACCTCCAAAGAACACACCAAATGCAATTCCTAAAAGGGCCTTCTTATTTCGTTGTTTTGGGAATGAGTACAGAACGACACAGCTTCGGATTCCCATCGAAGCTAGAATTCTGAAATGTATTAAACTGGCCTCCAGATGGAATAGGCCCTTTGAGGTCATTGTTAGAAATGTTGAATGCTGAAAGAAAGTGTAGGCTGTTCAATGCGGCTGGGATTTCACCTGTGAGATTGTTGGCCGACAAGTCTAACACCTGCAGTTTTGTGAGATTACATATTGATTGTGGGATGTGTCCCGTCAAGTGGTTGAAGCTAAAATTGAGTGAAAGAAGGGCTTTCATCTGACCGATCTCCAGGGGGATCTCACCAGTGAATTTGTTCTTGCTTAGATCCAGGACTTTAGGCAAAGCAGTGGGTACACGGTATTGTCGTGATGGACTACTATAAACAGGTAGCTCAAATACTCTTGGGTCTAAATGGGCTTTCCTGTTCTCTGACTTCAGCATTGGCATATCCATAATTGCTGTTGGAATCCCCCCTGTGAGGCTATTGTTTGATATGTCCAGATAGAACAGGTTGCTTAGGGTTTTGATCCAGGCTGGTATTGACCCATTGAGTCGATTGTCAGACAATACTAATATTTGTAAATTTCCTAGCTTTGATATCCAGTGAGGTATTTGTCCAGACAATTCGCATCCTCCCATACCCAAAACCTGAAGATTCTCAAAACCATCAATTTTGTCATCCTTTGGCATGATTTCTCCCCTGAAGTTGAGTGCAATAAGCAGGGTGGTGAGGTTCCTGCATCTCTTAAGGATGTGAAGTGCATTTGTGATATTTTTGAAAGAATTGTCAGTAAGTGACATGAAGGTGAGGTACTTCAGATTGCCTATTTGTGGAGAAAGCTGCCCAGATAAATTGTTGCCAGCTAGCCGCAGTGCTGTCAGATTGCTGCAAGAGTATATGTTTACTGGAACTTTGCCGCTGAAATTGTTCAAGAAAACATCTAATGTTCTTAGCTTGGGAAGGTGGGAGAAATTGACATTTGTAAGTTCTCCATGGAAATTATTGCTCTTGAGGTCGATTGTTATCAGATTTGTGCAGTTGCTCAGAGCAGATGGCAGCTCCCCTGACATATTGTTGTTGTCCAAACGGAGCTCCTCTAATTTCTTGAGCTGTCCTACAGAAACTGGAATCTTGCCGCTGAAGTTGTTCCTTCCAAGATCAAGGGTTACAAGATTTCTGAGGTTGGTTATGTTTGTACCATCAATAGCTCCATGTAAATCATTGTTAGGAAATGACAGGTACTCCAATGATGTTGCGTTGAAGAGTTCATTTGGGATTACTCCACTGAGGTTGTTATATCCAGCCCCGAGCACTCTCAGCCTGGAGCAATTACCAAGACTTGGGGGTATGCTGCCACTGAATTCGTTGAAACACAGTTCAAGCACAGTGAGGGATGGTGAGGTACTACAGAGTTGAGTTGGTATCTGCCCAGTAAAGCTGTTATTGCTGGCACTGAGTGTGTCCAGTTTCTCCATTACTTTCCATGTGGTGGATGGAAAGTATCCTGCAAATAAGTTGCTTGAGATGTTCAATACCTGCAGAGGCCGGGAAGGGGTTGAAGAGGGCAGCTCGTGGAGTGTTCCGTTGAGCTGGTTAAAGCTGACATCAAGTATGGTGATGCTGCTGGACGACACCAATTCCAGCGGTAGGCCACCGGACAGCGAGTTGCACGACAGGTTGAGGCGCAAGAGGCTGGTGAGGTTGCCAAGGAACGGCGAGACGGACCCCTCGAGGCCTCGAGAAGCCAGTGAAACATCAGTGACCGCCCTATCGGGACTCCTGCAGGCGATCCCTTCCCACTTGCAGCAATCCGTGCCGTTCTGCCATGAAGCAGCGAGGCCATCGTCTTGTGAGAGCTCGGCGAGGAACTGGAGAAGGGAGACCTCCTCATGCTTCGAGCAGGAACTGGTGAGAGAGGCCAAGGTGATCAGCAGCACAAGAGCAAGGGCAAATGAAGGTACGTGCAATCTCTTCCTCTGTGTCTTGCTTGAAAACTGGAGTGTCTGCATGGTTTTCTGGTGAAACTAGCCTGGAATTCTGAGCATCAATGGTTATCTGATCATTGAAGAGCTTGACGGGAAAGAAGAAGCTCTCATTTTGTTGTGCTCCTTGCAGTCGTAGTTAGCACAAAGGAAAACGGTTGGTTCTGACTCTGACCACTATACTGAATACTATTTCTGACTTTTGTAGCCGTCTACTATTTCTCTGACACTAAACGGTTGGTGCAAAAGCTTTCTTTTGTAGCCGTCTACTATTTCTGACTCAATCCGTATAGAATTTTTTACCACGTGCCATAAATTATTTCGCTGATCACTTCTTTGATGCACCCTTTTGTGATCAGGAAACGCCACGCATTCAAAAAGAAACAGTTGGTGGAGATTTGCAGATATCCGAAGGGCGAGATGTTCATGGGGAGATCATACCGAAAGGTGGGCGTGATCGAGAGGAATCATCTGCGTCTCGGTCAGCCTGTGGCGGGGCGGGCGATCTTTGGTCTCTTCCACCCTCTTGACCTTATCACACGTGCTTTATCCGATGGATACATCTGCTTGTGTTCTCCATTCTCCTGGCTCCACTGGCACACTATTGTGGACCATGGACTGTGACGCTCTGCGGCCATTATCTGAATTCTGAAGCCGTTCAAACTTGACAGTAAACCGGGGTGGCGTGTGAGGCTTGGCAATGGCCCTTGGTTCGGATGCTTGCACAGGACGGTGACGACGCGCATGGCGATGCGGCGACGGCGAGCTTGAGCAGCTGGCGCTGGAGCTGGAGGCAGAGAGGCTGGTGTTGTGCTGGCTGACATTGCAGGGCGGTCTCTGCCGGGGGCAAGCTGCCGGCGCTACCGCCGGAGGCGAATAAGCCGCAGCGGAATGTAAGAGTAGAAGTAGACAGAGAGATCCGGAGAGGCAAAGATAAGAAAATCCACAACCCTGGAATGTTGGGTGATAGGTCGGATGGGAGTGGTATATTTATACTTGAAATTATAACCGTTTGAAAACATAGCTGTCGAAAAATTGCCGTTTGAATTATAATAGTCATATAAATGGAGTGATGATTCTGAGAGAAATTGGGGAGGGGACGATTTTGGGAAAAGAACTGCCCATGCTCAGGAGCCAAATGGGATTTTCGCTTTTGTTAAAAAAGTTACAAATGGACTGTGAGAAAGAAAGAGAGAGAGTACTTTATTATAGAAAGAAGATTTATGGCTCTCGGGTGCCACACACCCCTATATAAATATAGCATTAAAAAACACATCAGGCAATTTTGAAACTTTTTGTTGGGATATGAAATCTAGGTGTCCGTGTGCACCCATGTTCAATTTCATGGGGAATTGGTGCCCGTGGTATGTCAGTAAAAAAGAGAAAAAAAATCATATGCATAGACAAAAAATTGGATGTATCCTATGTTAGACTGTAATTCCTGCGCCACGGATACCATGGGCACCCATTCCCCACGAAAATAAACACGGGTGTACAATGAGCACCCAGGTTTGATATCCCAAAATTTCAGATTTTTTTGAAATTTCCTCAACTGCTATTTTCATATAGCGGTGTGTGGCACCTGGGTGCTCCATTTCCCCTTTATTAACTGTAACTATGGAACCGTCGAGACATATAGCGGATTTTTTTAACTAACATGTTTCTTATAGCAAATTTGGAAACTATACGACCTAATGTGTTATTTTCAGAAGTAGAACCCATCGGCCTCCAAGAGGCCGAAGACACGGTTTTCGGCCAGCGGTAGGTCGAAGTGGGCTCGTCGGCCACCCAATGGCCAAAGAGAGGCCTAGTTGGGCCGAAGAGGGGGTGTCGGTGGCCTGCCGACCGAAGAGGTTGTCTTCGGCCCAGGAGCGGCCGAAAAGCTCTTCGGCGTACCCTCGACCGAAGAGGTCTGCATAAGGCCCGAACCGCTTTCTTCTTCCTCTGGCTCGCGAGTTCATCCTCTCTCTCTCCCTCGTTCGTCTCTGTTACCTCGCCACCCTGCGCCGATCTCCTCCCCGCTCCATCCATTTCCGCATGCAAGCCGCGGAAACAGTAGATCGTAGCAATCCTCGGCGGCCTAAGGTCATTGTTTTTCCTATGGGGTAGTTTTTTGTGCGTACAAGCAAGGAGGAGCCATGGTGGGGTGGAGGAGGTGTGGCTGGGGAGGAGATGGTGGTGAGGAGGAGGTGCGGCGGTGTTGTCCGGTGGTGCAAGTACTCTGCGAGCTGACCGATGCCGCTGAGTTGAAGAGAGGAACAAGAAGCAGTGGACACACACGATCGAAGGTATAACCATGTCGTCACATTTTTTTTTCTAAGTTGTACAATTTAGTTAGTGTAGATAAGTCACATTGCGTACTTGGAGTGTTAATTTGTCTATGCTGGCATTTTAGCGGATAGTGTAGCGGGTATTAATTTTGTTCGTTGTGATTAATGAGAAGATGACAATGTCTGACAGGTAAAAATGTCTGAATCAGTAAATTTGATTGTTTACTACGACCTTGGTAATGTTCGATATAATGAGTTCGGGGTTGATCTTAGCGAGTTTAAAAATGGCATCATGACACTTGTAGACCAGGATAGGCTGGACATTAGATAGTTGAAGTACTAGTTGACTACTAGTTTTGGGCTAGATCCTGAAGTATGTTCCGTCAGTATTCATGCATTGCGGACCAAATTCTGTAAAAATGTCAAGTGGGAGTTGATGCCGATAGATAGGAGCCAGCATTGGTTGACCCTGTTAAGTCGTTGCCGAGACTGAAGAATCCACCCATATGCCCTAGTGCAACCTAGGACAAAGGAGGAGAATACCATACAACTCCATGTGGGGTATGAACCCAGCCAGGGCAGTCGAGTGGCTAACAAGATTTATTTATCCGGGTCACAGCCACTGGATGTGGATGCTAGCCAACCCGAGAAAGAGTCGGACTACGTGCCACACAATGTGTGTGGTCATGATACTGGGCAGAGTAGTCAATCGATAATATTAGCTGGTTTTTTGCTGATGGGGATGAGGAAGGGGGGGGGGGATGCAGAGAGTGATGGAGGAAGAGGACGAGGATGGATTGGCGGAGGATCTGGATTCTGAAAATTCCAAGGATGAAGTAGAGGTACCGATTCCTTCTGCATGGGATCGGGACATATCCACCGGCCTTACGGTCAACGATGGCCATGAGAGTTGATGGCAGTATAATCTGAACCAAGTCCAGATAGGGGCTATGTTTGATACAAGGAAAAAAAATTGAAGTATGCGGTGATAAAGTGGGCTATGTTTACGTAGAGGGTTTTCCGGACACACATATCAAGTCGAACAAACTATCCCGTGAAATGTGTTGAAACAGGTTGTCCTGGAAAGGTGCACGGGCACGTGCCGAAATATAACATCCACTGGGTTGTCACTGATGTCGCCCCACATAATTGTGTGAGGTTACCTTCTGGTGAATCATCCAAACCTGCCTTCAACTCTCATTGCCAACTCATGTATACTGAGATAATGCAGAAGAAAGATATGGAAGCAAAATACATCCAAACAGCAGTGAAGGTCTGATGGAATTATGACATTCCTTATGGGAAGGCTTGGAGGGCTAAGCGGAAGGCTATGGAGGAAAGGTTTGGGACGTTCATCGACTCATATGATAATGTTGTCTGTCTCCTTTGACATACTGAAGTTGAGGAATCCCGGCACTTATGTTAACGTACAACACACGAGGTTGCCGAGTATACCAGATTTCAAGGTGTTGAAACGAGTATTCTTCTTTTTCACTATGTGCATCAGAGCTTTCCGGCATTTTCCTTCCGTGATCTTTGTGGATGGTACGTTCCTGACTGGTTAGTACAGATGGTGCATCAGAGCCCATGTTCCTTGCGGTCTGTGAATGACGCAAGAATGAGTTCGTCCTTGCTGGATGAAGGAGGCATCAGATTCATGTGCATATCTATAACGAATTTGCCATCACCCATTGTGATGTGTAAGAGTAGACAGAGAGATCCGGAGAGGGAAAGATAAGAAAATTCACAACCCTGTAATGTTGGGTGATAGGTCGGATGGGAGTGGTATATTTGTACTTGGAACTACAAGCGTTTGAAAACGTACCTGTCGAAAAAATTGCCGTTCGAATTATAATAGTCATAGAAATGGAGCGACGGTTCTGGGAGAAACTGGGAAGGGGGATGATTCTGGGAGAATCGGCCAAAAGAACTAGCCCGTGCTCAGAAGCCAAATGGGATTTTCGCTTTTGTTAAAAAAGTTACAAATGCATTGTAGGAGAGAGAGGGAGAGTACTTTATTACAGGAAGAAGATTTGTAGCTTTCGGGGTGCCACACACCCCTATATAAATATAGCATTAAAAAACACATTAGGAAACTTTGATTTTTTTTTTTGAATTTTGGGATATGAAATCTAGGTGTCCGTTGTGCACCCGTGTTCAATTTCATCGGGAATTGGTGTACGTGGTAATGTTAGTAAAAAAGAGAGAAAAAAATCATATGTATAGAGAAAAGAATTGGATGTATCGTATGTCAGACTATAATTCCTGCGCCGCGGGTACCACGGGCACCCGTTCCCCACGAAAATAAACACGGGTGTACAATGAGCACCCAGGTTTGATATCCCAAAATTTCAGAATTTTTTGTAATTTCTTGATATTTTTCAAATGCTATTTTCATATTGCAGTGTGTGGCACCCGGGTGCTCCATTTCCCCTTTATTAACTGTGACTATGGAACCGTCGAGACATATAGCGGATTTTTTTAATTAACATCTTTCTTATAGCAAATTTGGAAACTGTCGGGGATATACCCCGCGGTGTTAACCGCCAGAAGTATGACCCGCCCGGAGCTTGGCGATTCATGGGTAATCCTTCCGGACTTGGCGTCTCATAGTAACCCGGCGGGCGGGTCAGATGGATGACAAGGCCCAAGGCCCAGAAGGCCGGCTCATGTTAATGGTGGGCCGGCTTATGAGGAAAGTATAAGGAATATTCTCCTACAAAAGGAAGCAAGACTAGGACTCCACTTGTAATAGGT